GGGGGGGGGGGCGGTGGACGACAGATGTTACAAATACTTTTTACATACGATGCACTTTAAAAAACCTTCTTGTAAGTGCATGTAAGAGGAGAGAAATTGGAAAGATATCCATGACTCCTTTCTACACTGCTTTATTCCTTTTTTTAAAAAAAAGCCAATATTTTCTTTGGAGTCTCTCATGCATCTTCTCACGCGTTCCAGGAGTAAAAAGAGTGATGACAGAGACACTATATTCTCTTTGTTTTAAATACATTAAATTACAGGAGGCAAATGCTAAACTATGAGATGCTGTGATGTTACATCTATACATGTGCCGTGTAGAAGTATAGATATGGGATAGAGATAAAATATTAATAATATAGCCACTCCTGGGACTGATTAATATGACTCAGATTGCCGTTGCCTAAATCCTCACTTTGTGAGGCAAAGGGTTTTGTCTGAAGAGCCAAGAGCTTTGGAATCAAAAATCCTACGTTAAAATCAACATTCTGCCACTCATGAGGTGGGTGGCTTGGCCACATTACAGCCTATCTGGGACTCAGTTTCTTCAACTATAAAATGAGGAAAATGGCATGAACTTTGCAGGGTTCTCCCCAGAGCCAGGGATAATGTAGACAACGCAGGTGCGTGGTAAGAATGACTACGCCCCTTGTCAAGGAGAGAAAATGCTCTGAAACATTTAAGAAGCATTAATGTGTCTCTGCCCAGAGCAAGGGCAATGTCTTAACCTTCGTTGTGCCGTCTGAGCTTAGCGCCCCAGAGGAAGCACCCAGGACCTGCTCAGCGAAGGTTTTCTGAATAGCCAGTGCATGTGTAGGCTTTGTGTCAGGGTGTATAAATACCTATTGCGTAGGCAATGAGTCTATGCCCACGCTCCCGTGTCTGCTGCAGAATGAAAATACAGCCCACGCATTCTGAGGGCCGCTGTGTGCAGTGTACACTCCGTGTATCTGTATTTGAACGCAGCTCAGAAATGTATGGACACGCATCTCTTGCTTGCACGCTTTGCTTTGCCTGAGTGTGCGAAATGGAAGTTAGGGTGTTTGCACGTGTGGGTGGTGTGTGCACGCGTGTGTGTGTGTGTGCGCGCGCGCGTGTGAGTGTGCGTGTATGCGCGCGTGTGTGCATGTGTGTGTGCGCGCGTGCGTGCAGAGATGCGTGGCCGTTTCCCAGACAGGCGCAGTAAGGGTGCGTGGCTGAGGCGAAGTCTGTGCGGGAGTACAGACACACCTCCGGGCACGCGCGCACACACGCACGCACACGCACGCACACACTGCGTGAACAGGTGTGCGCAGGGGCCAGTCTGTGCTCTGTGCGGGGCGTGTCTGCGCCCACGGGGCTTTGCTGGGCGCCGAGTCCCGACAGCGCTGCGCGGGTGTCTGCGTGGCCGTCGGGGCTCCTCGGACCGAGCGCTGGCTTCCCCGGGGCGCCCGAGCNGGGCCCGGGCCCCACGCGTGCCGCCCCTCCCCGGGCCTCGCTGCTCCGACCCGTACCCCTTGTGGCTGCTTCCGAACAGTGGGCTTCACCCTGGCGAAAATCTGGATGGTCTGCTTCACCATCTCCTCCCCCGCTCTGGGCTGACCCTTGACCTCTCAGGCCCAGGCTCCCCGCACTTCCGACTCCCACCACCTCTAGCGAGGGCAGCCTTAGCAACAGTAACCAGGGACACTACCCAAGGATCAACGCGCCAACAGGGCCCGCCTCCTCTCTCTAATTGGTTGCTGACGGAGTGGGGCGGTGCCGAGGGAAGGACCGAGGGGC